ACTATATTCTAATGATAGAAAATTATAGAGTACAGCTATGTAACATTATCGAAGGCCGATATATCAATTAATATAGTGGCAAAATATATACAAATGTTTGCGATATTTATCCTATATACATCTTTCATTTTTTTTTTAATTTTTCAATATGGAAATTGGAAATTTTAAGTACCACTTTACTCATTTGTAACGTTACAAGCTGTTGAATAAATTCCAATATTAAAATAGTTCACTAAATAGGTACGGTTGTAAGTAGATTATTAAGCTTTTCCGAAACATTAAAAATGTAATTAGATACAGAAATATTTTAAAAATGCAAATATTATGCAAATTACGGGTTGCGGAGAATGCCAACGGTTGCGGGACACACGAGAAATAACGGTTATTTGTAGAGCATTCGTTATAATGATGCGATTCAAAAATTCAAAAAAAAAAGTATTTTCTTTTATAATGTGGATTTCCCAAAAATCTCTTGTAAAAACACTTCACGATATTCTATTATAATTGAAATTTTTCGCGAGAAATGCTTAATGAGATATTGTGACCTTTAAAAACCACCCACTTAGACACGCAAATGCCTGAGAAACTAAGTAGAGTAGGCTATCTACTTATCAAATAAATGAACTTAAAAATACATACTCTAGTAAACTAATTATATAAAGAAGGATTTTTGATATTCGAGATGAAGAATCTTCACCGGAAAGACAAAAATGGATGACATTCTTAGACGGGAACAATAAGTAACATCACGCAAATGTGATCATTGTATTCGTCATGCATCAAATGACAAGGTCATCAAGTGTCGAACGATCAAAAAAATAAAATTACAATTGGTCCTGTGCATTGTTTCTAGTCAAAGGGGAACGTTAGTAGTGACCTTGCTTGAAACCTTATACCGAATGTAACCTTCAATTCAATTGAAAGTCTTTTTTTTATTCTTCTAATTAGATCGTGATGTTTTAAAGTTTATATCTACTAAAGTTTATTAATTTAAACTGAAAATAAATAATAATACAAGAATATTAGTCGAAGAAACCTTACGATAAGAAAAAATAAGTAGCATTTACTCTTAACCTTACCTTTGTAAAGGTAAACTTGTAAAGTCGCCTAGCAGATGGGACGACAGGATGTCATAAATAAAAAAAAGGGAGACGACAATGATCCATAAAAACACAAATTATGTTGCGTTACATAAAGCAAAATACTCATTAAGTTAAGGATAACTTTACTGTAGATTAATCAATCAAAGTTTCCGTATAAGAATTGCGTAAGTTGAATTTTTTCGAATAAAGAATATGATCTAGGTTAATAAATCATAAATTAAAGAGTTAATTAATTTTACTCGTAGGCTAGAATCATATTTTTATGTTCCTTTTTCACGGATGCTTAAACAAGTACAGAGTCGATTTGTCCATAACAAGATCATAAACTTTAGGATTGGGCAATGGCATTCAATAACAGACATGTCAATGCACAAGAAGTAATTTCGTAAGTCGTAATTAAAACAATGAGTATTATATTTTTAAGAGGCAGAATTTCTCAATCTGTAACTAAAATCTGACGATATATAAAAGCCTTAAATAAACAATGGATTCCTCAAAATAAATAAAGAATTTCCTGTTGAACAATAAGAAAAGAAAACAGGACGTTCAACAATTCTTTCCTCAAACTTACTGATGAGGTACATCAACACAATGCTGCATTCTTCGACGTAATAAATCATACAATTCAACTGACACAAAAATTTATTGTGACAATCTTGTTTATCAAGCTTCAGTAGCGGTTATAATTTTTAAACTTTTTTCTATTATTATTATTTTTTATTTATTTCCTTTCACCAAAAATACAATTTTTAAAAAATTCCTCAAAGGAAATGCAAGTAACGAGGAAGAATTTTCAAATTGTTATGATTCATAAAAGCTTCAAGTAAATTAAATTTTGTATTGTTTACTTTAAAAAGTATAATAAACAATTCATTTTATAAAGTAGATTTTAATTATTTTAACCGTTCTAATTAAATCATCTCTTTTAAAGCATAATCAAAGAGACTATATTCGTGTTTTTTTTTTTCTTTGGTCGCTCTTTGATAAATTTCTTAAAATAATGAAATTTAAAATATATTTTATTGCGCTACATATTAAATTTCATTGAAAATATTCTCTACAATTGTATAAAAATTTATTATAAAATATATTTCTTACAAATACATTTTTCTCTAATAAATTCGTAAAAAAAAATATGAGTAATATTTTCTCGAAACAATAAAATAAATTTCATTTTAAAAAATTTTTTATAAATAAATATATATGTAATTTTTTCATAGTATTTATTATTTTGCACAATCTACTACTACAATTGCACTGGTTCAAAGGTTTTAATGAAATGTATTGATGATAATCTAACTGATATCATAAAATTACTTGCAAGCCTAAGAGATTTATTTTACAATATTATCTAGCAAAAACGAAAATTGCAGAAGGAAGACCTAATTCGATATAAATCTATCTATATGATAAAAGCTTTTATACAGTTCTATACAGTCACTTAAACTATATAATTCACGATTGAACTCGAGCGAAATGTATACTAGATAGAATCGCGATGAGTAGATACGGCATTATGGACGTTTTCAACACTGTTAAAGTATGGAAAAACTATTTTAAATATTTTTTTTCTGGGCAAGTTACAGTCTAAGCTTATCAAAAAATATATAAATGTAAGAATATTAAACTTATTTTAGCTATTGTAAGTTGAATTTTCAAATAATGTACGCCTAGGCGCCAGTAAGTTAACAAGAAAGACTATAAATAATTACAAAATAAATATTATCAGATAAAAATGTGATTGCTGTGTAATGATTTTGTCTCAGATAACACAGAATAAATAAATATAAAAATAAATAATAATATTGATGTTAAAGAATCATCGTGTGAAAAATAAATAAGAAANTTAGGAAAATAAATAAATATATATATTTTTTCATTTTTAAAATTTATTTCAATTAAGTAGGCTATAGGGCCTACGTTAAGCTCATATAAGTATTAATTTTTTTTTTAACATTTTAAACTGTATATTAGATATTTCGGATGTAACGGACAGACATAAGAACGATTTTTTTTATTTTTATTTTATTGTTTTTTTGGAGGCTGAAAAATCTTATAGAGCGTGATATTTCGAAACTTTTTGGCTTTTTGTGTTATATTTTATTTCTCCGGATCACCATTGACCTTCACCCAAAAATTTCAGCTAGTGCAGACTATTTTTACAAAAGCTATCGTTTCTCCAGACTAAAGGATTGAGTAACTGTTAAAGGCTTTTAACGACACGAATCGAAGAAGAATAAAACGAACGTTTAGGTTTTATCTGGTTCCCCCTGTTAAGTCTACATGAACAAATAAATAAATATAAAAATAAATAATAATATTGATGTTAAAGAATCATCGTGTGAAAAATAAATAAGAAAGAAAAAGATGATCGGTGGCAAGGTTCCTACAAAGAAAGTACTCCTTAGGATAATAGATCAGTGAAATAGTAAAGTATAAAATTTACTTATGTTTTCCTTTATTTATCAACCAATTAGAGCGTATCTTCAGAATGACCCGAAACTCCTACGCGAACTGGTCGTGTTGTAAATGGACAACGAAAGTAGTTCAATCGTCTTTTTCTATGTAATTTCGTCCCTTCCTTCTTCGTGAAGTATGCCCACATAATCATCGTTACCGTACCAATTACACATTTCGTGTGACGACTACACCCAAGTAAGGGTTTTCCATGTGAAGGACGAACATCATAGAAAATTCTTATCACAGGAAAGAAAAAAAAAGAACGTAATTAGTTTTCCTTCATAATTATGCAGTCATCAACAAAACAAATGGAACGCGTACAAAGTAATGTATGGCACCATTAAAATGGGCTCTCAAGATGTCGCACGACTCTCTGAGAAAATGTTTTCTAACATATTTCAAAAAATCACGTGATGTGTCGAGTTAGAAAGTGTGTCACATAGAAAACCTGTTCAGTCACTGGGGGTGGTCCCCACACCCGAACTACTGACTCTTCCGGTTTTTGTTAGGTTAAAACAAATATCCGGTATGATGTGACCAGGTAAAAACAAATTTCCTGCTGAAATTTGATTAAGTACATCTTTACAAAATGGAAATATAATAAAAGAGATAACATTACATTCTCCCTACTCCAACGAACGAGAAAACAATTCGAAAAATATAATCTTAAGAATCTTTTTTTTCCATTCTACTCTTCCATTCTTTAAGGACACGGACCATGGTTGACTGTCCATTCTGCTTTTTTAGAAGTTTTTATCAGTTCAATCACCTTGGGACAGACACTTTTGACAATTGTTCGATAGTTTTAACTAGTTAGGAAATATCTGAAGAGTATATTATACACTTAAATGAAAAAAAAATACCTATCATTAAATAGTTGAAAGTAAAATTATACTTCTGTACATATCATGAATGACAGTTTAACATGTAAAATGTACTATACAGTACTAAAAATCGTATCTTTGAGATTTCTATAGAATCAATTTTAATTAAACTTTTCACTACAGGAATAAAATTTTTGTCTGAATTTGATTCATGTTCTACCAAATTAAAACTTGAACAATTGAGAATTTCTCATGGATAATTGATAAAAATTGAATCACATTTATTCAAATAATTCCTAAATTCTTTAATAGGTTAGCCTATTCACCTTTCTTAACATTTTAACGTGTTTGTGTAGTATTTAGATTAGAAACAGATCCTGATTTCTACAGAAAATTCAAAGTATCCTTTTAAGGATTCGAGTACACGGCAAGGCCCCAATGCCCTATAATTCAAACCACGAGTTCACATACCGGTCTAGCAATTTATTTTCATCTGCAATGAATTATAAATAGCGTAGAAATAAAAATTCCAAATGAATATGAGTAATAATATACACGTCTCCCGATTAATTCCTGATTTTTAATATTTAAAAATACTTCAGGTAGTACTTACAATTTCTTGTCTAAGACATTTCATAGCTAAATCCAAACTACATCTTTCGTTATAAGAGTCTAAACATTCTTTTCCATCTACATCTAATTGTTCCACACTTTCGGTGATATCCGGCGTGGAAGATGTCTTCTTAGGTGTAATAATTTTATCATTTTCTTCTACAGTACACATACTCCATCTCCTTTTCATAATTTCCGTTCTTTCTAATCTACGAAGATAAAATTCCCGACAACGTCTAGCAACTGTACATCTTGCAGCATTGTGACGAGTTAAACTAACAGTTTCTTCACCCATTTCTATAGAGTCAGACATATCCGTTCATCAGTTCTAGAATATCTACTGAGTGATGCTTTCTTACTTGGCAATAGTAAGTTAGTTGCAACACGTTTTACCACTTCAAACAACAGCTCGCGAGTGACGACTTGTCTAACGTCACTGTACTATCTCCCCTGTATTGACATGCGCACTATCGGGTGTAGAAAGCTTGTTACGAGAACGTTTTCGATTTGTATTCGTTTTATTGTCGAATATTAAAAGATAACCCGAATATTTTTTCATATAATTTCATCATTTTCGATAGTTCAATGCCTTCTTGACATCTTTTTTACTTTCTTTATTCACTTAAATGAGAAAAACAAAAGGTAACAGATGGTTATCAACTTCTATTGTAGAAAGTGAATCGCAGTGAATAGGCATTAATGCCTTTGCCTTTATTATTTTCATTATATTATCTTTTATTAAATTATAAACGTAAAATAAGAATTAAAATGAAACCTTTGCGTTAATTAAGAAGACAATCCTTTGAAAGGAATCCATATCGGTGCATAACTCTATTAAATACTTATAATTCTACGTCTTAGATATGAAAAAATCGAAGCCAAATGGCACAAATTAACTTTAAAAACTGTTTCCCTGCCATCTGGAGCCTTCAAATTGTTCTAAATCATCTTTTTTTAAAGGTATAAACGACTCTAATGGATAGTTTTTTTAGGGCCATTAGAAAAAAAATATATCATTAGGGCTTTGTATAACTTTAGCAGACTTTATCAGCAACTCTATTTAAAATTNGAACACTTCTAAACGTCTGCCATTTTTTTCGGAAGTTTTTCCTTTTGAATTTCGTGCAAAATAATTTCTAAACAACGGCCATTTCTCGTCAGTGTTCGTTGTTCAGAGGTTTGACTGTATACAGATTTTTGAAGAGCGATTAAAATACTCTTAATATACGAAGCACTCTTTTAAATTTAAAGTGCGTCCAAGTATTCAAGAAATTCTTTGAATATGTAATCAACATACATGTATTTATTCATTAAATTAATGAATAACGATCTGTTAATTAAGAAATAAACTACAAAATATATGTTAATCGAAGAGAAATAAACACGAAAACTAAATAGAAGAGATACATCAGGTACGAACCCACGTTTTAAGAATAGGCTATTATATTATTGGTCGTATTATTAAGATGTGAGTATCTAATTTTAATGACTTATTTGTTTTTAATGAGACTCTTGATTTTTAAAAGAATAATTTAAAATCGATTAACTCTTAATTTTAAAAGGATAATTTAGCTTCTACGCAATTCAGCTTTCAATTCAAGAATAAAACATTAATTAGCAATTAGAGCATTTATCAAATAACAAAGTTGAGGTTCGGTTCCTAAACGAATCTAATTTATGTTTTCGTTTCATTTTATAAATATAGCGTCTGTACATTGAAGCTTTTGTTTAGGACCTCGCACTTTTAGGAGGCTCACATATATTCTCTAATACATGCTCGAAGTTAGTTCTGTATTTAGAATCTAGGACTAATTAGGATCTTGCACAATATCAAATATGAGTTTTTACATTATATAAAATTATATAAAAGGGGCTTCTTGAGTCTGCTTGCTCGGAACCTCACGCATTTAGGAACTTGTGATAAGCTTGATATTTAATCGATATTCAGAATGTAATAGGCCTACTAGCTATGTAACTACACCCTGTACAATATGCTGTACAAGTATTGTGTTATATGGAATTTATATTATATAAAAAAGGACTGACAAATCCTCATTCGAAAAGCCTCGCACAACTTAAACTCATTATTGTACGTATGTATATAAGACGTTAAACGCATTAATTTCTATCCTTATAACCATTAAAAAAATAATTTCTAGCTTTATATTAACTCATGACTCATTACAAAGTTTAATTACTTCTACATTCAAGAGCTACTATAGTAACAATCGTATATCATGCTTGACGTCCTTTACCAGAAAAAAGTCCTGTTTGTAAGAAATTAGTTACCAAAATAGAATATAATAATTGAGTTGTAATTACGTAGCAAAAAGTTATATATATATTTGATATCCTTAACTAACATTTTATAAATGGATTATAAATAATACTAATAAATTAAATTTAATCAGTAATTTAGTATATAATGAGATACTCCCATAGCAACTAATGCAGATAAGCTGACAGGCAAGATGACGGTCTCTTTAACTAAAATATTGCTATTTCTATCGTTTAGTTATAGATAACAATGTTTAACATTTACTGTTATTCATGTATTTCTCACATTTTAATAAAGTAAAACTAAATATAAAAATATCAAAATTAAAGAAATTTAAATTAGCATTTATAAATAATCGCATTTATATAAATGCATTTATATAAATAATTGTCATTTAATATATTTTAAACTGTAAACAAAGTAATCATAGAAATAAAGCTAACATAAATTAATAAAGGATGAAATATATAAAATGTTTTTCACTATTTATTACACATTTTTCAATTGAAAATTTATTAAATATCAATTTTAACAAGCTTGTTTAATTTTTAAATTAATTTATCTTTATTTTATTATATTATTTTTATATAGTTTTATTTGATTTATTTTAAATGCAGAGAGGCCAAAAGTCAGTCAATCATAGTACAGACTAAATTGCCATCTTATTCAAATATTTAATATTTTTATCAATTGTTTGAAAGAAAAACACGTTGTTTTAAATTTAGTTTACTATTCCTATTCAAGCAAAGCATGCTGTTAACTGATTTTTGAGTCACTGTATTTATTATATTTTATTTATTTAAATGATTTTAATTTTAATTTTAGTTGGTAATATCAAACAATTAGAGTAATTATATTCATAAATAAAGTTTAAATCTGCAGCGATTCTTATACTCTTCTTTATCTGTGAATTTAAAATATATTTTCCCCTCAAATATAAATTTTATTGCATATATATAAAACTTTTAATCTTTCCACACTTTTATTCAGGTTTTTACAATTTGGAGATCGCGATCTACCAGTTGAGAATACCGATTCAGTATATGAATGATATTTTTACCAAAGAGAAAAGAAATTGGAAGCAGGTAGAAAAAAAAATTTAATTCTAGATAAGTGCACTCGTGTAGTAACGTAGTTTCAATTAAAATTTTTCTTTATTTCTACTTAACAGCAGCATTTCCACTCTGCATTCATAAGCAAACACGAACAGCTCTTCAGCCTCAATTATTAGATAATAGCGTAACTTATTAAAAATGTAACTATAGAATTTTTAAGATACTTCATTAGATAATTATCATACTTTTATAATTTAGTAAATAACAATTTAATAAACTTAAATGCCAGCTATTATAAATGTATACGTGACCTTCGGAAAGGTCGCGTATGTTGAATATTTTAGATTTTATCTAATTACTTAGTAATGTAATTGCCATAATATTAAATATTTAATAACAGAGAATGTAAAGTACAGTACATGTAAAAATTTAATTTGTTTTGTATAGCTCTTTCCAACTTTAAATTAATTGCAAATTAAAACTTTTCATTCGCAACTTCCATGTTGTTCTACTCCATGTTACGAAGTACTCAATCTCATTTTTTAAAAAAAAAAGTACTTTCTCATTAATAGGACATTTCTAATCCTTTCATTAAATTTATTTACTATGTTTTTTCCCCATTAAAACTTTGTATATTTTTATCAACTTAAAACTTTAATTTAGGATAATTATCTTAAGATTTTAATTTAGGTTCATTTGATTTTCGTTCCGCTAACAGAGCACGAAGAGGATAACTGATAAAACGTTATGGAAAGTTTATATTAAAAATGTTAAAAATAGAGCTTAAAAATATTGTTTTTAAATAAAAATTATAGAAAAGTTAATTAAATATTTCAAACTTAATTGCTGTTAAATTCTCGTGTTATAATTTCGCACATATTTAACAAATTAAAAATATAATATGCCACTTGCATCCAATTTAACACACATTCTAGTGTTTTTAAAAAGGGATTTTCAAGGAAAACTTTATTTGGTAATTAAAGTATAGTTTAAAAGGATCCATTAAAGAGTGCAAACGTTAATAATGTATTCAAAGTAAGATATAATTAACAGGAAATATTTAAATTTTCATTATACAATCGAACCTTCAATAACGGTCACCTCCTAACAAGGAACACTTCTAAACGTCTGCCATTTTTTTCGGAAGTTTTTCCTTTTGAATTTCGTGCAAAATAATTTCTAAACAACGGCCATTTCTCGTCAGTGTTCGTTGTTCAGAGGTTTGACTGTATACAGATTTTTGAAGAGCGATTAAAATACTCTTAATATACGAAGCACTCTTTTAAATTTAAAGTGCGTCCAAGTATTCAAGAAATTCTTTGAATATGTAATCAACATACATGTATTTATTCATTAAATTAATGAATAACGATCTGTTAATTAAGAAATAAACTACAAAATATATGTTAATCGAAGAGAAATAAACACGAAAACTAAATAGAAGAGATACATCAGGTACGAACCCACGTTTTAAGAATAGGCTATTATATTATTGGTCGTATTATTAAGATGTGAGTATCTAATTTTAATGACTTATTTGTTTTTAATGAGACTCTTGATTTTTAAAAGAATAATTTAAAATCGATTAACTCTTAATTTTAAAAGGATAATTTAGCTTCTACGCAATTCAGCTTTCAATTCAAGAATAAAACATTAATTAGCAATTAGAGCATTTATCAAATAACAAAGTTGAGGTTCGGTTCCTAAACGAATCTAATTTATGTTTTCGTTTCATTTTATAAATATAGCGTCTGTACATTGATATTAATATCGTAAATAATATTTTAAATAATAGAAATAGTTGCGTAATGTATTAATTAAATAAAAACACATAATAATTATTATTATTTTAAAATATTTTCATCAAAATATATTAGCATACAATTATAAACTTAGGATAGAATTCAATATAAACAGTATTTTATTATCCTAGAATGGCATAACTTAACCCAAACAATATGTGATTTAGTGGGAGGTAAACGGTGACAATGACATCAACAGGACATAATCCTGTTTCTACATTCGATTTCCTGTCTTTCCATCCTGTCATTTTTTATTTATTTTTTCACCGAAATTAA